GTTAACCCGGGGTTTCTCAGTCTCAGCACAGTGGACCTCTTGGTTCACATAATCCTTCGCTGTGGAGGGCTAGTCTACATGCAGTTGGAAGCAGCAGCCCTGGGCACTGCGGCATCTTTTACCTTGTGTCTTGTTCTCTTCTAGTTGTGACAGCCAAATGATTGTCCCCAAACATTGTCTTCTGGGAGACAAAGTTTTCCTTAGTTGAGAAGCACAGTGGTTAGCTAAATCGTACTTCTTCCCTATGTTCATTCTGGGTTTAACTAGCCTTCAAGTGAGCAGAGGTACCACACCCCAACGAGATGGTCTTTGGAATTATGGAGTTGGGAGAAGAAATGTTTGTTGTGGGCCTTTATTCAACTGAGTATTAAACTGCTGGCTTAGAGAAACCTGTGAGGGACTGAAAGGAGAGTCACCTGAATGTCCATTTTCTTTCCCTTCAAATCCCTGTGTGATTCACTCTGGAGAGGGTACCAAAATGTCATTGGGAAGGAGAGCCCCAAAAGATTAAGAGCAGAGTACTGTGTCAGTACCAGGACTGAAACACCTGTAGCTAAGACAATGTCTAAGTCAGGTGTGATGATTCATGTCTGTAATTCAGCACTTAGGAAGCTGGGGCAGGAGGATTGCAGTGAGTTTGAGGCCAATAGGCTGTAAGTGAGTGCTAGGCCAGACTGAGCTACAGTGTGCGATCTTGCTTCAAAACACAAAAATGTCTGGGGGGGGGCCGTCGTGGTATGTTGGGATCATGTGTCTAATATTATTATTGATTATTTTTTCATTTAAAATGATTTATTTTAATTTTAATTGTGGGTATGAGCACATGTATGCAGGAACCTACAGAGACTCAAAACTTAAGATCCCAGAAGCTGGAGTTCGTATGGTAATGAGCTGTTTGCTGTGGATGCTGAGAACCTAACTTGAGACCTCTGGAAGCTCAGTCCTTAACTGCTGAGCCATCTCTCTAGCTCTGTATTAACTAATGAGAAAATTATTAGTTATTTGAAGTTTCTGTATTGACTATTTTTAAAGGCATATTTATCATCAAGCCTTACCTTCTGTTTTAGAAAAAGCGCAAGAACAAGGACTCCAACCAGAAGCTGGAGGCAGCCATAGCGATGGCACACAGGGCAGAACAGATCAGTATTCAGGTGGGACAGTGCTCAGCTCGCCCTGGCTGGGCCCCATTCAGTCCAAAGACAACCCACACCTGCTGCCCACTGCAGGGAACTGGAGGCCTTCCCTATTGCGGCTTACAGCTCACCTTTCCTTCCTGGCCAGGTTTCCCTGATGCCTAAGGCATCTACTCCTCTCCCTGCCCTTGGACACTTGGGGTCTTCTCTCAGCCCAAGTTTTTATCTTCAAATTCCTCTGAAGGAACAGGGTGGGGTAGAGAATGACATGTGAACTTCTCTCTCCTAGTCACTTGTTCCAGCACAAATCAGCTAGAAGAGAGATTATAATTAATCTCCTTTAAAGGTTGAGATAAAGCTAATGTGATATTTCAAATGATAATGGTTTGGAAAAATGAATGCAGACTTTGTCATAACTAGAATCTAGAAGACAGGGCAAAGCTGTGCCTGGCAGGGGAGTGGGTGACGTTGTTGTTTCTTGGTTCCCCAGGAGCGGGTTAACTTGTTTGGTTTCTGGAGTCGATATAATGGAGCTGACATCAGTGGGGAAGAGAAAGGTAGGAAGAGAATAGGGACTGGAGGGTGGAGAGCACCCTGCCCCAGGACCCAAGCCTGCACTCTCTGCCCCTGTCAAGATTCTCTAGTGGGACCTCTTGTGACTGTGACCCAGAGAGATGGGGAGGGGGGGATAAGATAGGGGATGTGTGAGTCATGATGAGTAGGACTGTGGTGATGGGGGACTCTCCCCTGGACTCAGACGACAGGGTTTGAAGGTGGATTTCCTGAGATCAGCTCAGTTCAACAATGTATCTCAGACACATAGTCTTCCTTCATTCCTTCTTCTAGATTTGATGCTCTATGAGTCCAACATCCCTGAGTCTTGTCTGGAGAAAGAAGAGAAGGACTCGGAGGAGGAGAAGGAGGAGAAAGAAGAGAAGAAAGTAAAGCTGACAAAGAGTTCTTATGACTTCAGGATTCCTGTAGGGGTGTGGTTGGCATAGATTCATGGTCCCTGTGAACCATCCAGCTTCGGGGCACTGACTGGCTGGCTCAGTCCTAGGATCTCCAGGAAAGGAGGCTTTCTTTCCTTCCTCCCTGTGGAACTTTCTTGGCTGTCTAGGAATTTCCTTGATTGAAATTTCAGTTTGTGCTGTGTTTCTTTGGGTCGTCATGTAATATCGGGAAACCCTCAGTTGCTTTTTCCACTCCTTTCTCTTGTATGGAAACTTCAGATGTCACCCATTTTCTTGGCATCTCCTTGAAACATTCATTTTCACGTTCTCTTTTAGTTTATCTTTTTCTCTTTTGTGAAAAAACGTATTACTCCATTTATTTACTTGGGTGTGGGAACACATGCCAGAGAACAAGTTGAGGGAGTTGGTTCTCTCTTTCCCCCATGTCCATCCTCCAGTTGAACTCAGCTTGTTGGGCTTGGGGCCGCTGAGCCATCTCATGGTCTCTAAGCCACCTCCCCTGCCTCAGCTTCTTCTTATGCACCCAGTCCTTGCCTTGACTGGTACTAAATAGGATTGGAGGGTGACCACATATTTTCTCTCTCCTGCTGAACCAGGCTGCAATCAAACCTAATTTAACTTTCTGAGACCCATCCATTATTCTCTAACACCCCCTCTTCTAAAAAGAGAATATGTGTGCAAATGCACGTGGAGGTCAAAGGTTGTTCTCAGGTGTAATTCTTCAGGTGCCATCCACCTTGTTTTTTTGAGGTAGGTCTGTAGCTTGACCATTCAGATAGGCTGGTTAACAGGCCCCAAGAATGCACCTGTTTCCACACCTCCAGTGCTGGATCCAAGTGTGCTTGGTCACACACTGCCTTTTATGTAGGTTCTGGAGAATGAACTCAGGACCTCATGTTTGCATGGGAATCACATGACTAAACTGCCTCCAGGTTTTTAGAAAGCGTTTGTAATTCAATTTGCCTTTTTCTGTTCTTTCCCTATTCAAGGACCTAACTTTGTCTAGACCCAAGCCAGCTAAAACACAGACAAAAAAACCCAAGTCAAGAGGTAAGCAAGACAGCTGGAAAGGGGGAAGTCCCACAGGTAGGGAGGGCAGAAGTAGACAGAGTGTTGGCAGGTGGTTATGTCTGACTGAATCTTACTTCTAGGATCTGAGAGAATAGGTCAGGCTGATACCAGGACGGAAGTCACAGTGCCTTGTTCTTGTTCCCAAAGTCTTTGGTTAAAAGTGTAGGGTTTAGCTTAGTCCCCAGGGCTGATTTCTTGGAGAAGGCTGGTTCTAAGGAGAACCATAGAAAGGAGAAGACCCCGGGCCAGCAAAGTCAAGATGGCTGGAACTGGAAGCCACTGAGGGAACCTGCTAGACTGGGACTGAGCCAGAGATATGGAACAAGGCAAAAGCTAAATACGTGGCTACCATCTTCCTTGCCAACTGTCAATAAATTTCCTTTATGCTTGGGGATTGGGGTTTATACAGGCCCAGCAGGAGGACAAGATGGAACTCCAAAGAAGAAAACTGTGAAGAAATCTCTGGTCAGTGAATCCACAGTCCCTCCTGTACCTACGCTGAGAGGGAGGGAAGAACAGGGAAGTTCAGACCTGGACCGTCCAGGTAAGCCTCAGAGGCTCGAAGGCTGTGGGGAATGAGGTTCTTGTCTGCATCTCTCCTCCCTGGGTCATTTCTGAAAAACTGAACAACTCTTGATCTTGTGGGTTGAGGTGGGAGTCTGATGAAGTTGGGGCTGGCCTGTATTGTCTATGAGTTCTAGGCTAGCATGGGCTCCATAATGGGACCTTCTTTCAAAAACACTGAAAAGGAGACAGAGAGGAGAAGGAGGAGGATAAATGAAATCCTGAATGAAAGACCATGTCTCAGAATGAACCTAGAACATTCTTTATAAACTTTATAAGCTTAATGGTGGCCAGTGATAGCATGGAAGACCTTTAATCCCAGCGCTCGAGACGCAGAGGCCGGCAGCTCTCTGAGTTACAGGCCAGCCAGAGCTATATAGTGAGAGCCTATCCTAAAAGAACCAAGTGAATGCACAAATGTAATTGTCTGATTGGATTAAATCCAAGGACAAACCAAATGGGTACTTCACATATGTGATGCATATACATGCAGGCAAAACACCCATATACATAACATCTTTTTAAAAAATGTCGTGTCTCAGCTAGTAGTGGGATTTCATGTGCAACTTTCCCTTTCCATAGTAGAATTTTATCTGGCTTGAGCTTGCACAGACCTTATGTGTGCTGTTACAATCACTGTGAGTTCACAAGTGCAACTGCCCTTTTCTGTTCAGAAAATACTGTTTCTACTACCTCTGGCCTTTATACAGTCTTTGGCCCCTCTCTTTTCAAAGATCCTTGAGCCATGTTGCATTTAGGGCTGCACATGCTGTAGTCTCTTAATGTTCTCAGAATGTTGGCCAGTTGAGAAAAGACACCGGCTGCAAGGAGAGCATCTGTGACAAGGGCTGTGAGATGCAGTGAGCTGTGGGGCATAGGTTATTAGGAGTCGTTTTAGTACTGTGTCCATTAAGCAGGATCATGGTATTGGATCCCCCTAGCGCCTGAGGTCTGTGTACCCACAGGCTGCACTACCCACAGTGCTAGGTATGGGTTCCATCTCATGGACTGAGCCTTAGGTCCCATCACTGGCCTGAGTTTTGACATTTTGTTTACTTATTTTTGCTGTCTGTGTCTGTGTACCACATGTTGGTCTGGTGGCCGGAAGCTCTCGTATGTTCTGGAGCTGGAGCTGCAGGTGGTTGTGAGCTACTATGTGAGCCTGGGGATTGAAGCCCAGCCCTCCCTAAGAGCAGCAAGTGCTCTTCACTGCAGAGCCAGCTTCCCAGCCCCATTGACATTTCAAATACAAGTGTACTGAGGCTCAGGTTTCAGATGTATTGATCATCCATGTTGAACACACAGCTGACACAAGCCTAGAATCCAAGTGTGTCCTGAAAGCCCATGTCCCATATTTTGATAAAGATTATTCTTTCATATGTTTTAAACAAGAATTCAGACATCTGGTGTAAAAAGTCAGGGTAAGTTGACTCTTAACTTTGTCCCTTATTCCCTTTAGGCCCTAAGAAGAAATTTAAAGCTCCTGAAAACAAGGCTTCAGTCATCAACTTATCTGAGGAGAAAGAAATTAAAATTGTGTCCAAGTGCTCTACCCCACCAGCTCAGCATGGGGCCTGTCCATTGGGAAAGGAAGGGCTTGGGCCCCAGGTGCTCCTGACACAGGAGGCAGCAAGTTTCCCTCCTGATGACGATGGTTCCAGTGACCTGGACTTTGAGCAACTCATGGAAGACATTGGAGAGCCGGAAGAGAGAGGGGAGTTGCAGCAGAGGGGCAGCTCAGAGGAGCTCCTGGCGGCCCTCTTTGAGGAGTAGAGTACTCTGGTCCCCCAGCTGTTGTCTGCCGCGGAGAGCCTCTCAGCCTTCCTGAGCAGCTGTTAACTGTTGAGGATGCTGACCTGCTCAACAGTTCAAGTCAGCCCTGCAGCCTGTGTTAATAAAGCAGGTCTCTGGCATTACTGCTGCGCTGGTGTGTGTGTGTGTGTTGCTATGGCTAACTGCCTTCTCTGGAGGCTATAGGAAGCTGGGGACAGCAGTGAGAGCCAGAGTTGGGGGAACCTCCAGAAAAGTATGTCTGGGTTTGAGCTATTTCCTGGGAGCTACATGGCCTTAGGCAAATGCCTTAGCCACCTGGTGTTTATTTTAGTTCCATGTCTCACATATCTATCTAGGGTTTGGGCTGATGTCCAGTGCAGTGGGACATGGGAACCAGCTGGTTATTACACTCACTGATCTGGGTGCATGTCATGGAGTCTGCCTGCCAGCATTTAGGATCGCTGCTAGAAAAAGTGATAGAGGAGGGTCCTTAGAGGGCCAGAAGTCAAGGGTCTCATCAGTTCTCTCCTTAGATTCATTTAGGCAGATTCTGTGGATCTTTTTATTTTTGTGAGAAAGGCCTAGGAAGTTAGAAAGGGAACTGGAACTTTCTCTGTGGTCAGACTCTCTGACGAATGAATTTCTGTGTCTGCCTGTGGTATCAGTGGAGGCTGGGAGTCTTCCCACTAGAAACAAAGGTGACTAAGAGCATCACTTAGACCCACTCATTTAGCCTTTATGATGGAGTACACAGTCTCTTCCTGGTGGTTCCCGTGGATAGGTAGGCTGGGAGCTGTTCCTGGTGAGGTTGGACTTGAGAGGGAGATGGAGGCATACACAATGTTATTATCCTGAGGGAGAAACGGGAGGTCAGATGGTAGCGGTGCAGCTGTGACTACCATAAAGAAGCAGCTGCAGCCTCAGTGTCCTGCCTACACCGTAGGCCTCTACCCATCCACCACCTTCTTCAACACCCTTCTACTCTCTTCAGGCCTGAGTCTGAGTTGCTTACCTTGGAGTTCTCTTTGGGGTCCATACATTGCCCTAGAGAAAAAGGAACATGGAGTGCTGAAATCAGGCAATGTGACAGGAGAGCAGGCAGATGGCTGGGAGTTCCCACAATGGTGTGGGAACCTTGGTTACATGGAGAGACAGTAGGGAGGTGGGAAAGGAAGTGCTGGGTGGGGGATGGTTATGGAAGTGTGGGGTCTTGGGAGAAGAAGCAGAGCCAAGAGTGGAAACAAGAAGCTGACAGGATTACCTTCATGGCCAGCACTCTCACATTTCTCACTGGTTTCCAATGGCTTCCTGCATAGGAACAAGATGGACAACATATGAGAGGCTGGATGAGAAAGAATTCAGACATTTGGTGCTGGGGTGGCTCAGTAAGGTACTTGTCGTATAAGCATGAAGACCTGAGTTTAGATCCCCACACCCGCATAAATCTGGATGCTGAAGAGGAAGGGATAGGCAGATAAATCCCTGGAGCTCACTGGTCAACTGGCCTAGACTAACTTACGAGTTCCAGACTCAGAGAAAGACCCTGTCTCAAAGAGAGAGCAGAGGGATGGAGAAATGGTTCAGTCAGGAAAAGTGGCTGCTTCACAAATATGACGACCCAAGTTGAGATCCCCAGGACCCATGTAAAAGATGCAGGGTACAGTGAGCCTTGAAGAGAGAATAGACAGGTAGGTCCCTGAAGCTCCTTGTCTGGCCAGCCTGGCCAAATTGATGAGCTTCAGCTTAGTGAGAGACCCTGTCTTGAAATAGAGGAGAGGAGAAACTGAGGAGAGTCACCTCATTGACCTCTGGCCTCCATACACATGAACACATACAGAGACAACATGCATGCAGAAACATAAAATAGAATGGAGAGCCACTAAGGAAGATATGACATTGACCTCTGACCTCTACATATATGTGCATGTGCATCTGTATATGCACACACACAGAGAACTGGGCACAGTCGTATATGCGTGTAGTCAGGAGGACTCCCAATGCTCACTGGTCAACTAACCTTGTCTAGTTGGTGAGTTCCAGACCAGTGGAAGACCCTGTCTCAACAACAACAACACAACAACAAAACAACAACGACAAAACCAAGTGGGGTCTGGTGCAATGACTTGGTGGTTAAGGCCTTGACATTAAGACTGACAACCTGAGTTTCATCCCAAGGATTTATAAGGGAGAAGGAAAGCGCCAACTCTCAGAATTTGTCCTTGGTCTTCCACATGCATGCCACGTCAAGCTCTCTCTCTCTCTCTCACACACACACACACATACACACACAATGTAATAAAAACAATTACACAAAACATTGGATGGCACCTGAGAACACACGTATGCACATATGGAAGTGCACACACACGCAAGCGCATGCACCAAAGGTTCCCTTTGAGTGGTCTCTGCAATCCTTAGTGACTGAGGGTAAACATGATGGTGTGAGGCTCTCACAAGAAGGCTCTCTGGAAGAGGATGGAGGGGCTTTGGTAAGGTAGCCTGGCCAGGGTCTCTTAGCACTACTAAAAGGTGAGTTATTCTAGGAAATCTAGGAAGGAACAGAAACCAGAAACAAGAAGAACCAAGTGTATCCTCTCTCACTACATTGGTTATAACTAGAAGGCAAAAGTTTCATATCTTCTGGGTAGGCACTCAGGCTTTGTTCTTGGCAGAAAGTGTTGAGGGTTTTGTCTTTTACTGTCTACTGTAATGCTAAGTACAGGTTCCCCAAAACCTGGAGTTTGGGCAAAGCTCCTGGGATCCTGCCCCCAAGTTAATTCTGATTGGTGAATAAAGATGCCAAAAGGCAGTAGTTAGGGAGAAGAGACAGGTAGGGAAGAGGTTTTCGGAGGCTTAGAAGAGAGCACGAGGAAGGGAGAGAGGAAAAGGAAGGAGCCACCATGGAAGAAGATGAACTTGTAGGAGGGGAGAGAGCTGCCATGGGGTAGGAGTAAGGAAAATGTGGCCATGTGGGCTGGCCAATTGGAACTAAGAGCAGCCCAGGAAACAACACCCAGGATTTTTAAATATGTATATGTATATGTATATGTATATGTATATGTATATGTATATG